TGCCAGGGGATTCTGGGGTGAAGCAGAAGGGCAGACACCTGCAGGGGAGGGACCAGCACCAGAGGAGAGAGGGCGGGGGGTGGGGGGGGGGGGGGGGGGTGCAGGGGATGCCAGGGCGCAGGAATAATCGCTGTACTAAATGAGGAAGGAGCTTGTGCCTAAGCGAAGAGCGGGCTTTAAAGGGCCAGAGACAGGAACCCGAGGGGCTCGCCCCTCACGAGGCCGCCCCGAGGGCTGAAGAAACCGAAGCGCTCTCCGCAGTGCGAGGTGCACTCGGGGTTCCACGCTGGCGGCTACCCCGTGGCCCTCTTGCAGTTCCCACTGACCCGGGGCGTGGGCTCTCGACGCGCAGGGGAGGCATCAGCGCCACTTTGCCGCCATCTGTTTCGGGGGCTGGTCTTGGGACAGGGGAGCCCCGCGGCCACCTCCTTTCCCCCGGGGGGGAAACTTCAGCCCCTTTGCTTCGTCTCTTCCGAGGGGTGCCAAGCCCCGGCCGCAGAGCGTTCCCCCCCGCCGCTCTGCCCCGGCCAGGACACTGGCTGGGGCGATCCCCCGAGGGCAGGGCTGGGAGGTGCGAGCTGGCGAGGGGAGGGGTGTCTATCCGGCGCGCTCTTCAGCCCCTGCGCCTGGTGTGCGAGGCAGTGACGGGTGCGTGCGAAGGGGAGGGAGGGGGGATGGTTGGCAATGGGCGGGAGAGACTGAGGCGAGCCCTGCTTCCTTTTCTCTCTGCCAGCCCGATCTCCGCTCATTTTCTCTAAGCAATACCACTCCACGGACAGCTACCTAGCCAGCCCTACGCGCCCAGCATGGACATACCAGGTAATAGCCCGGCGCTCCCTGGCCCCCTTAAAATATGCATGGGGAGGAGGGATGGGGCAGATCCCCGGGAGAGGGGGGGCATGCAGTCCAGAGATTTGAATTTGTGTGGAAGAGGGAGGGTCGCTAGAGGCAACTTCTCAGCCAGCCTGATTTGGGTTGGGGGCTTTCTTGGGTTTTCTTTCCCCTGCCCAAGAGTTTCGCGAGCCGGTGCACAGCTCCCAGCTGAGCTGGCCGGCGGAAGAGATTAAAAGTAGAAATCGGTGTCTACAGTCTCCGTCCTTTCTGTAGAAAGTGCTCGGCGCTCAAGGGGCTTGGCAAGAGCGCCCGGCGATGACTGGGCTGTGCCAGCGCCTGGCGTGGCAGCAGGACGGGGTATCTTAGTGTACTGCCAATGCTTTTCCAACTCGATCGCCCCTCTCCACCAGGAGCCGAGAGCGCGCAGGGCGCATTGCGCGGCTGGCCGGGGAGCGCTCCGGGCGCTGTGGGGGACCTGGGTGAAACCTGCATCCCTCGCACCTGAGCGGCTGGGTCAAAAAGTCGAGCTAGGGGCGCTGCCGCGGAGCTGGCACCCCCCCCCCCCATGCCCGTGGGTTTCGCCCTGATTCCGAGGCTAAAAGTGCGGGGTGTGTGAAAATCATAAGAGACAGCCACCAGGCACTTTCCCTTGCAATCAAAACCTGGGGCTGGGGAGGGGCGAAGAGGTAGGGCAGTACCAGCCACCTTTGGAGGGGGGAGACCTCTGGCATGGCACTTGGGCATCTCCTGGACCTCTGCCCACTTAGTGCCCCCTGCCTGTGCCAGGAGGGGAGTGGGTGTGCGCCTGCCGGGTGGTGCGGGGCTGGCAGGGGTCTCTCCCTGGATCGCTGGCTGATTGCTCTCTTTACCATTGCCAGGCTGTGCGCCGCCCGCCCTGTGAGGACGCCCTGTTGCCCTGCCCGCAGGAGGTGGCACTTGGGCATCTCCTGGACCTCTGCCCACTTAGTGCCCCCTGCCTGTGCCAGGAGGGGAGTGGGTGTGCGCCTGCCGGGTGGTGCGGGGCTGGCAGGGGTCTCTCCCTGGATCGCTGGCTGATTGCTCTCTTTACCATTGCCAGGCTGTGCGCCGCCCGCCCTGTGAGGACGCCCTGTTGCCCTGCCCGCAGGAGGAAGACTCGGATCTACAGCCCAGCGCCAGCCAGCGGCCCCGGCGC